ACTAAAAATATCCAGACGAAAATACCCAGGTGCACAACTACACATGCTGATCAACATTCCTGTAAAGTTTCATGACTCTAGGTCAAATACTTTTTGAATAACATGCGACACAAGTTGAAAATTGCAAAATTTTACTAAGTCAAGGGCAATAACTTTGAAAATACTAAAAATATCCAGATGAAAATACCCAGGTGCACAACTACACATGCTGATCAACATTCCTGTAAAGTTTCATGACTCTAGGTCAAATACTTTTTGAGTTACATGCGACACAAGTTGAAAATTGCAAAATTTTACTAAGTCAAGGGCAATAACTCTTAAAATACTAAAAATATCCACACGAAAATACCCAGGTGCACAACTACACATGCTGATCAACATTCCTGTAAAGTTTCATGACTCTAGGTCAAATACTTTTTGAGTTACATGCAACACAAGTTGAAAATTGCAAAATTTTACTAAGTCAAGGGCAATAACTCTTAAAATACTAACAAGAGGGCCATGATGGCCCTGAGGTCGCTCACCTGTATATAGGCCCCCCCCCTCCACCCCCGGGCCAATTTTTACCCAAGGGCTTTTATTTGTTTATTTGAACAGACTTGGTAGACACCCATAAGAAGATGTTTCATGCTAAACATCTAAGTTCTAGCTCATTGGGTTTTTTAAAAGAAGATTTTTAAAGTTTTTACTATACACATATAGTTAAAAACAATGACACCCCTGGGGCAGGGCTAGTTTTGACCCCAAGGCTTTTATTTGAACAAACTTTGTAGATATTTACTTAAAGATGTTTCATGCTTAATATCTAAACTCTAGCTATTTGGGTTTTTTCAAAGAAGATTTTTAAGTTTTTGCTATACACATATAAGGAAAATCAATGACCCCCCGGGCGGGGCTAGTTTTGACCCCAGGGCTTTTATTTGAACATACTTGGTAGACACCCATTAGAACATGTTTCATGCTAAATATCTTAGCTCTAGCTCTTTGAGTTCTTTAAAAGAAGATTTTTTAAGTTTATACTATATACATATAGGGAAAATCAATGACCCCCTGGGGCGGGGCCAATTTTGACCCCAGGGCTTTTATTTGAACAAACTTGGTAGACACTCATTAGAAGACGTTTCATGCTAAATATCTTAGCTCTAGCTCTTTGGGTTCTTTAATAAAAATTTTTTAAGTTTTTATTATATGCATATAGGGAAAATCTATGACACCCTGGGGCGGGTCAATTTTGACCCCAGGGCTTTTATATTAATGCCAAATATCTAAGCTCTAGCTCTTATGGTTCTTTAAAAGAAGATTTTTTAAGTTTTTACTATATGCATATAGGGAAAATCAATGACCCCCCGGGGCGGGGCCAATTTTGACCCGAGGGCTTTAATTTGAACAAATGTGGTAGACACTGACTAGAAGATGTTTCATGCTTAATATCTTGGCTCCAGCTCTTTGGGTTCTTTAAAATAAGATTTTTTAAGCTTTTACTATATGCATATAGGGAAAATCAATGACCCCCTGGGCCGGGGCCAATTTTGACCCCAGGGCTTTTATTTGAACAAACTTTGTAGATATTCACTAGAAGATGTTTCATGCCAAATATCTAAGCTCTAGCTCTTAGGGTTCTTTAAAAGAAGATTTTTAAGGTTTTACTATATGCATATAGGGAAAATCAATGACCCCCCAGGGCGGGGCCAATTTTGACCCCAGGGCTTTTATTTGAACAAACTCGGTAGACATTCACTAGAAGATGTTTCATGCCAAATATCTAAGCTCTAGCTCTTATGGTTCTTTAAAATAAGATTTTTTAAGTTTTTAATATATGCATATAGGGAAAATCAATGACCCCCCAGGGCGGGGCCAATTTTGACCCCAGAGCTTTTATTTGAACAAACTTGGTAGACATTCACTAGAAGATGTTTCATGCCAAATATCTAAGCTCTAGCTCTTATGGTTCTTTAAAAGAAGATTTTTTAAGTTTTTACTATATGCATATAGGGAAAATCAATGACCCCCCGGGGCGGGGCCAATTTTGACCCGAGGGCTTTAATTTGAACAAATGTGGTAGACACTCACTAGAAGATGTTTCATGCTTAATATCTTGGCTATAGCTCTTTGGGTTCTTTAAAAGAAGATTTTTTAAGCTTTTACTATATGCATATAGGGAAAATCAATGACCCCCCAGGGCGGGGCCAATTTTGACCCCAGGGCTTTTATTTGAACAAACTTGGTAGACATTCACTAGAAGATGTTTCATGCCAAATATCTAAGCACTAGCTCTTATGGTTCTTTAAAAGAAGATTTTTTAAGGTTTTACTATATGCATATAGGGAAAATCAATGACCCCCCGGGGCGGGGCAAATTTTGACCCCAGGGCTTTTATTTGAACAAACTTGGTAGACACTCACTAGAAGATGTTTCATGCCAAATATCTTAGCTTTAGCTCTTTGGGTTCTTTAAAAGAAGATTTTTTAAGTTTTTACTATATGCATATAGGGAAAATCAATGACCCCCCGGGGCGGGGCCAATTTTGACCCGAGGGCTTTAATTTGAACAAATGTGGTAGACACTCACTAGAAGATGTTTCATGCTTAATATCTTGGCTATAGCTCTTTTGGGTTCTTTAAAAAGAAGATTTTTTAAAAGCTTTTACTATATGCATATAGGGAAAATCAATGACCCCCCAGGGCGGGGCCAATTTTGACCCCAGGGCTTTTATTTGAACAAACTTGGTAGACATTCACTAGAAGATGTTTCATGCCAAATATCTAAGCACTAGCTCTTATGGTTCTTTAAAAGAAGATTTTTTAAGGTTTTACTATATGCATATAGGGAAAATCAATGACCCCCGGGGCGGGGCAAATTTTGACCCCAGGGCTTTTATTTGAACAAACTTGGTAGACACTCACTAGAAGATGTTTCATGCCAAATATCTTAGCTTTAGCTCTTTGGGTTCTTTACAAGAAGGTATTTTAAGTTTTTACTATATGTACATATAGTGAACATAAATGACCCCCCGGGCGGGGGCTGATTTTGACCCCAGGCTTTTATTTGAACAAACTTGGTAGACACCCACTAGAAGATGTTTTTCATGCCAAATATCTAAGCTCTAGCTCTTAGGGTTGTTTTAAAAGAAGATATTTAAAGATTTTTCTTTCGGTTGCCATGGCAAACCAAGAGTTTCTGCATGGAATTAAATTCTTTGAACAATTTTTAAAGGTGACCACCAAAGGAACATTCCTGTGAAGTTTGGATGAAATTGGCTCAGTGGTTAATGAGGAGATCTCATTTAAAGCAAAAGTTTACGGACGGATGACAGACAACGGACGGACGACGGACGGACGGACGCCGGACGAAAAGCGATCACAAAAGCTCACCCTGTCACTTTGTGACAGGTGAGCTAAAAATATCCAGACAAAAATACCCAGGTGCACAACTACACATGCTGATCAACATTCCTGTAAAGTTTCATGACTCTCGGTCAAATACTTTTTGAGTTACGTGCGACACAAAAAAGAACGGACGGACGGACGGAAGGACGGACGGACGGACAAGGGTAAATCTAAATGCCCGCCACTAATGTGGGGGCACAAAAAACAAAAAAATAGCTCTTAATTTGAATTTTATGAGTTTATGTTCTTTATTTAACTACGGAATGAAGCTCATAATAATCAAATGTTGGCTCGGACAGACGGACGGACGGACAGACGGACGGACGCCAGGGGGTATAACATAAAATGTCCGAAATTCTTTCGGGCATATAAAAAGTCAATTTGGGGAAAATTAAAATGCAAACAGAAAATCCTGTAATAATACTGTATACTAAACAACATAGTAGAGAGTCACAACAACATCTGTTTTTCCTTAAATACTAAATCATCATGCAACATATTATTCTTTGCAGTACATCATCTGTCAGTGTGTATGTACAACATACATGTATGGTGGTGAATGATTTTATAATTTCTCACTTTACTAAAAAAATAACCACAAAAAAGATGATATTTTGATAAGCATTTTGATTTCCGGAAAATGTACCGTTCAGTACGGAAAATAGCCAAGAAAAAAAAAAAATGGCGGCCCCCATGTTCAAACACATATTGCAGTTTTCTGCAATATGTTTTTGGATATTTTGGGCAACCATTGATGGGTTTCATTTGCTGAAATGGAAATATTAATACTCTTTACCTTTTTAAGTATTTAATCCCTTAACAGTTCAAAGGGAAAATAGAAATTTTTTTGGGGAAAAAACTTGGCTATTTACCAAGGGGAAGACGCCGACTATAGGGTGTCAATTTGTTAGTAAAAAAAAAACCCTGCCCTGTGACCTGACCTTTGACCTGGTGACCTGCAAAATAATAGGGATCATCTACTAACATGAATAACCTCCATGCTAAAATATGAAGACTGTGGGTCAAAGGATTCTTAAGTTATTGGACGGACAATATTATCTCAGTCAAGACCTCTGTGACCTTGACCTTGGACCTGGTGACCTCAAAATAATTTCCATGCCAAATATGAAGACTGTGGATCAAAGGATTCTCAAGTTATTAGGCGGATAAGATTTGTTCAGTCAATGTCCCTGTGACCTTGAACTTTGACTTGGTGACCTTAAAATCAATAAGGGTCATCTACTAATCATGACTAACCTTCATGCCAAATATGAAGACTGTGGGTCAAAGGAATCTTAAGTTATTGGGGGGGGGGGGACAAAGCCTATGATCTGATTCCAATCTATTTCCAGGATATTTGGACCACTCGAGTGTTAATGAACTAAATGTGAACAGAAGAAGGACCACATACACAGAATGTTCCTAAAAGCTTACACTGCGCCAGCTCAGGCCAGAATGAAGTTATAGTTTAAGCCAAGGAAAAACCATACAGATTCCTTCAGCAAAATTTCTTAAATAACAAAACATTATGCTGCTTGTTTTATATTATCTATTCATTCTTGTAAGAGTATTTTGCTGACAGATTAACAAGAAAGTTTAGTTTAGATATTTCACCTTTGTCATGAAATCCAGCTGCTTCTAACCTTTGATAAATCATAGCTTCTATTGACTGTGCAGGGGTCTGCATCGTGTGTGGTGGCCTATTCAGGAATGAAGCAGATCGTGACCTCAATGTCTGGTTTCCAGGGTGACGGCACACAGCGTTTGCTGGATCCTGTCTGTGTCTTCCCTACAAATTTATGAAAACAAATACTTTGATTTAAATAAAAAAAAAAACCCTTGTGTAATGGAAATCACAGGTTTTCAAAAGAAATAGCATACAAGTAATTGTTCAAATGTAAATATAAAATGGTCAACCATAGAATAAATGGCATAATCCCTGTACCTTTTTAAAATGTGGTTATGAGAAATAAATACCACATGTTTGACTGTACGTGTCTAAAAAATATATGGTAACAAAATCACTATAAAGTGTAAAAGCTTTGAATTAAGTAGACATTGTTACTAAATATTTGCCTAAGAATTATGTAGACTTTGTATACATTTGCCTAAGAATTAAGTAGACTTTGTAACTATGTATTGGCATAAGAATTAGGTACACTTTTTTTTCAAGGATTTTCTATTTTTAGCTTAGGCAGCCCCTAAAAGGGGGCAATCAAATTTATACAAGCAATCTTGATAAAAGACTACCTAAGAATTCTACAGACAAAATTTGGTGATCATCCATCAGTTAGTTCTGTAGAAGGAGATGTTTAAATGTATTTCTATTTTAAGCTTTAGCAGCCCCTAAAATGGGGCCAATCAAATTAATATGAGCAAACTTGATAAAAGACTACCAAAGAATGCTACAAAGTTAACTGATCATTCATCAATTGGTTCTGTAGAAGAAGATGTTTAAAGGTTTTTTTCTATTTTTAGTTCTGTTGACCCCTAAAAAGGGGCTTATTAAAATGACATGAGCAAATTTAAGTGTGAATGTCACAAGGATGCCACAGACAAAATTTGAGGTAAATCTACCCAGCACTACTCAGAGAAGAAGATCAATATCCGATGATTGTTGACACATGAGCATCCCCCTAAAACTAATAACTTACCCTGAACCTTCCGTTCTGGTGAGCTAAAAACAAGAGGGTCATTATAGCCCTTTTATCGCATACTTGATTATGAAGGTTCAATCCCCATTTCCAGGATATTATGACTAGAACAGTAACCCATAGAGTGTTTACAATGTTGTTCCATATTTTAGGCTTTTTGATCCAAGGTAACCAATATTCGAACCTGACCTTGAAACCATTAAAACTAGAACTGCCACTATCATGGTGTGAATACCCCCCGCATACCACTTTT